CACAAACTGGGTGATTTGAAGCAATATAAATTTTTGTCTCACAGTTCTGGAAGCTCAAAATCTGAAGTCAGGGTGTTGACAGGGCCATGCTTCCTCTGAAACTTGTGGGGGAACACTTCCTTGCCTCTTGTCTCTTGCTGGCAATCTCTGGAGTTCTTTGGCTTGGCTTGCAGTTGCTTAACTATAGCATCTTGCCTCACTGTCACCTGGTGTTCTCTTGTGTATCTTTGTCTTCAGGTGACTTCCTTATGAGAACACTAATTATATTGGGTTTGGAACCACTATACTCCCCTCTGACCACATGGTAGCTAGTTACATCATCAACTACTTTATTTCCAAATAAGGGTCACATTTTAAGTTATTAAGTGTATTTTAGTCATCATTTTCATTGCTGTGACCAAAAGACTCAACAAGAACAATATCAAAAAGGAAAAGTTTATTCTGGCTCATAGTTTTAGAAGTTCAGTATACAAATGGTGAATTCCACAGTCATGGACTTGAAATGAGGGAGAACATCACCACGGTGGTTATGTATGGGCTCAGCAACATGGACTTCCACTCATCAAGGCTGACCTGCTGAAGGTCCGGTTTGACAGCAGCAGAGACTGACACTAAGCCTCTCATGTAGCATTGTCTCTCAGGGAGATCAGCCAGCAACCTGGTGGTAGGTTGATATACTGGACCACTTCTATCATGGAAGGGGAAACAGTTTGTCCATCCTGGAATGAATTTATCTTCTCTGCACATTATGCTTCAGCAAAAATCACCATCCGTGTACTTACAGAATGCCTTATCCACTGTCATCTACACATGGCATTGCTTCTGACAAGGAGCTCACTTCACAGCCAAAGAACTGTGGAAATGGGCTCATGCGCATGGAAATTTACAGGCCTTCCCATGACCCCACCATCCTGAAACAGCTGGTTTGAGAGGACAGTGGAATGGCCTTTAGAAGATACAGGTACAGCACGAGTTAGGTGGCAATACTTGCAGGAGTGGGGCAAGATTCTCTAAACCTGCATCTACTATATGGTACTGTCTCTCCTATAGCTAGGATTCATGCATCCAAGAATCAAGGGGTGGAAACAGGAATGGTATCACTCACCATTACCCCTAATGATCCACTAGCAAGGGTTTTGTTTCCTGTCCCCTCAACCTTATACTGTGCTAGCCTAGAAGTCTTAGTTCCAGAGGGAAAATGCTTCTACCAGGAGGTATGGCAATGATTTCATTAAACTGGAAGTTAAGAAACCCCTCGGCCACTTTGGTTCCTCCTTCCTTTGAGTCAATAGGCTAAAAAGGGAGTTATGGTGTTGGCAAAGGTGGGATTGATCCAGATTACCAAAGGGAAATTGAAGGCAAGGAAGAGTAGGCCTGGAGTGCCGGAGATCCCTTGAGTGTCTTTTTACTTTAACATGTCCTGTTACTAAGGTCAGTGGGAAGCTACAACAACCCAATCCAGGCAGGATGAAAAATGTCTCATACCCTTTAGGAATAAAGGTGTGGGTCATCCCTCCAGGGAAAGAACCAAGATCTGCTGAGGTTCTTGTTGAACACAGAGGGAATACACAATGGGTAGTAAAAGGAGGTAGTTATAAATACCAACTACGGCCATGTGACCAGTTACAGAAACAAGGACTGTAACTACCAGGAGTATTTCTTTCCTATTTTGTTAATAATATCTTTGTTCCTATATACACATCCATTAACTGGACATGTTTGTTTACTCTTATTTTTTCATCATGTAATGTAATTTTCTATAGTTTACTCTGAGATTTGTTCACTGAAAGTGCTTATGTATTGTGTAAGTGGAGGTTACTCTCTCCTGCAAGTTTTCTTTTTTAAAAATTTGTTCTTTTTAGTTAAACATACAATAGATTGTATTTTGACATATTATCCGTACATGGAGTATAACTTCCCATTCTTGTGGCTGTACATGGTGACACTGCTTATGTATTCATATATGAACAAAGGAAAGTTATGTCTGATTCATTTTGTTGTCTTTCCTAGTTGTATATTCATCCCTTCCCTTCATTCCCCTTTGTCTAATCCAATGAACTTCTATTTCCCCCACTCCTTTGTGTGTTAGTATACACATATCAGAGAGAACATTCAGCCTTTGGTTTTTAGGGATTGGCTTATTTGGAACTGATATTCTCTAGTTCCATCCATTTACCAGCAAATGCCATAATTTCATTCTTCTTTATGGCTGAGTATATTCCATTGTATATATATATATATATATATATATATATATATATATATATATATATATAATCACATTCTTTATTTATTCACCTGTTGAAGGGCACTAGGTTGGTTCCATAGCTTAGCTATTGTGAATTGAGCTGCTATAAACACTGTAAACACTGATGTGGCCATGCCACTAAAGTATGCTGATTTTAAGTCCTTTGAATATTAAAAAAATAAAGAAAAGAATACAAGTAACAATAAATGTGGGCCAAGATGTGGGTAATGCTACAATTTTGGTAGAACATTTATTGTTACTTGTATTCCTTCCTTCCTTCCTTCCTTCCTTTCTTTCTTGTGGTGGGAATGGAACCCAGGGCCTTGTGCACACTAGGCAAGCACTCTACCAACTGAGCAATATCCCCAGCCCTCACTTGTGTTCTTGGTAATTGCCAACATAATGTAATATTGATTGACTTAATGTCAGTAATTTTTTTAATTTTAATTTTTTTTGGCACTGGGGATTGAACCCAGGGGCACTTAACACTAAGCCACATCCCCAGCCCTTTTATTTTTTATTTTTAGACAGGTTCTCATTAACTTGCTTAGGGCCTCACTAAGTTGTTGAGGTTGACTTTGAACTTGCAATCTTGCTGCCTTAGCCTTCCAAATCACGTAATTACAGATGTGCACCACGGTGCTAGGCCCTTAATATCAGTATTTAAAGTGATATTAAATCTACTATATAGATTTAGTGGGGTGTCAGAAGAGCAAGCATCACTCAAAAAATATTTTTGCCTTATTATATTCTGGGGAAGGAATTAGGGTATTTTCAGTTGTATGAAGGGTAGTTATATTATGTTAGGAGGAATTATTGCGTTTATTTGGAGGTTAAGTATGATGTAAGGAGTCATGTTCAGGTATCAAGTTGACAAGGGGTAGACTTGTGACAGTTAATCTGAATTGTCAACTTGATTTCATTGAGAGATACCTAAGATTAAAAGGCTTCTGGGTGGGTCAATGAGGGTGTTTCTAGGAATGATTGGCATGTGGAACAGCAAACTTATGGGGAGACCTACCCCAAATGTGGACATCACAGTCTAATAGATTGGGGCATGGATGGAACAAAATGGTGGGAGAATAAGGTGGGAGAATCAGCAGATGCAATCTCCATTCTTCCTGCGCAGGTCCTTCAAGGCTGCTGTGATCACCTGAGGACATTGGACTCCAGCTTCTTCACTCTTTCAAAGGGGACTTCCACGCCTTTTGTCTGAGGCTGCATTGTTGGTCCTTCTTGGTCTAAGCCTTCAGCTTCTTGGACTGAGCAGCTACTGGTTCCTCCAGTTGTCCAGCCTGCAGACAGCCCTTGTGGGGCATTGGGGGATGATCTAGTTTCTGATTCCATAAGCCAATCCAATAAATCCCCATTTTATAATCATATATATATGATTATAAATCATATATATATGATTATAATATATATAGTATCTCCCATTGATTCTGTCAACAGAGAACCCTGAATAATACAAGGAGTTAGAACCCCATCCTTTTCTTGGGGAACACAGTTCAATCCCTGGCATCTGCTCACACTTTTGTAAATATCTCTTTCACTAGATTCTCTCTAACCACCCTGACAGTGCCCCCTGATTCCTGCTGGGAACCTGTCTGAAATATCAGATGTAGGGGCATGAGTAGAGACAAAACCTTCTATATGCGGAATGAGGACACACACACACATACACACACACAGCACTGAGACAGAAGTACCCATGGGCTTAAAGCTTTATCAATATCAAAGGAATAGTTATCAGGGCTCAAATAAATCTTTCTTTCTAGAACTATCCAAATTATTTAGGAAACCTTCTTGGAAAATCCTAATAATGTATGTATGCTTATGACTATGATTTATATTGTTCATAAGTTAGAGGTAATTGTAAGAGTTTATTGTTAATGGACAGAAAAAACTTTCCTCTATTCCTCAGAGAGGGCTGGTATGAACAATAAATCAAAGCCCAGAGGTGGAAGACAGTGCAGGAGAGGGAAGGAGGTGACAGGGGAAGCTTGGGGTGGGTGTGGCTAGGAGAAGTGCTCCCCGAGGCAGAGAGAGGCAGCTGCCCCTGCGCCAAGAGGGAACTTGGACAAAAATGCTCCTGTCCTGGGGTGCTCAGGTGGGAGGCAGAAAGGCCTGCCAGGGCTCTGCCCTCAGACTCCACCTTAAGTTCTGCGAAGGCTGTGTTCCTTCCGCCCAGTTATTCTTTAGGTCACAATTTCTCAGGTCCTGGCCACTTTCTTTTCTTGTGACTTTTGTGAGGAACTAATTTTTTTCTCTACCATTTGTAAAATGGGGGATAGCTCACAAGGTTTCTGTGAGAAATAAACGAAATTATATTTGCTAACACTTGTTTCATTGCTTATCTATGTGAGTTTTCTCCTTGCCAACAAAACAAAAAACAAAACAAACAAAAAACCAATGATACTTGAGATTTGAACAGTTAGTAGGAGAAGCAAGAGCAGTTTGGGGGTAGTATCCATCTTCCCCCTAATCATCGACAGTCTCCTACTACTTGCCATCTTACGCTCTCTTAAAGGCTGTGAAAATGCAGCCTCAAGGCAAGTTCTGGAGGCATCTTGCAACAAGATTGCCATCCTCCAGCTCCTCATTTGTAGAAATTGTGGAGCTTCCATTGCACGTAGTGTTTTACAGTTACAATGTGGCCTTGCACTTGCTGTTGGGTCTGTTTTTATGTCCTGTGTTATCCCTCACTGGTCCTCAAAGATGCTGACTCAAGCGACCTGATTTCTGCCCACAGGATGTCTGACCTGAAAGCATGTCGCTGTCCACAACAGGAGAGCAGAAGAACAGGAAGCAGCTCATTCCAAGATCAGAGCTGCAGGAAGGACCCAGGTCTCTGGGCTGTGGCCCTGAAGTCAGGCTCTGTCGGTACAGGAACTGCTGTTCCCTGCAGCCTTCCCACACAGGGTTGGGGAGTGAAGAAAAGAAGGGTTGACTCTGATTTGCAAACTGCCACAAGCGTGTCTTGCTTTTCTGTTAGAGTAAGATGACTGTAAGGTTGATGTGGTTAATATTTCATTTTCAGGGCCAGGGTGCTGGCTGGGAGGACCAGGCAAATCAACTGACAGTCATGGAGGAAGATATGTTTATTGGCTTCGTCGGGAACAGAAGGACAAATGAAAGATTTGAGGGCAGGAGGGACCTCAGCGAGTCTTCTAATCCCTGTTTCAGCCTTCACTCAGCCATGTTCTCAAGCAGAGAGCTGCTTTACCTGTTCTTCAAACATGTTCCTTAAATTTACCTTCCATTTCTTTTTTTAATTAAAATTTAATTTTAACTGATACATAAAATTGTACATATTGATGGGGTACTATGTGATATTTTGATACCTGTATATTCTGAGCAATGTTTAAATCAGTTTGATAAATATCTTCTGAAACAAGCATCATTTCTTCATGGTGAAAAAAACCCTCACTTCTTCTTGCTTTCTGAAATAACAGTACAATTATCTATAGCCACATTAGTGTGCAAAATTACAACGGAATTTCTCAGTCCTATCTAACTATAACTTAGTAACCACATCAACCTCTGCCTACCTTTCCCTCACCCACTCTCCCCAGTCTCTGGCAACTACTATTCTACCCCCAACTTCCATGAAAATCCATGGTTTTAGATCCCACACATGAGTGAGATCATGCAGTGCCTGTCTTTCTGTGCCTGGCTTAGTTCACTTAACAATTTGCACCAACTGTTGAGAAGTAGGTGGCTGAATGGTCCTACCTCTGCTCAGACAAGACTCAGCCACAGCATTATTCACAAGATTGGGCTGGAAGAGGCCCTAAAATTTCTGGGTCCCCTTTCCTCACTGCTTACTCCAGTTCTCAAGAAGCAGCTATGCTGTCATGGAGACAACTACATTTAGACTCACAAGATCTGGGTTTGCATGTGAACCCACCACTTACTTGCAAGAAACTTCTCCCTCTTGGCCTGTTTCCTGAACAATAAAGTGGGGATGACATTGTTCCATGTAGTTGTTGGTAGTCAGGAAATTATGCATAAGGGTACACCTATGATCTACGGTTAGACCTGCGTTGGGGTTCAGCTCAGCAGTTTGGAGGGTAGGAGGAGGGCAGCCTTCAGTTTGTGACCCATAGGCAGAGCAGCAGCACTGTGACGCAGGGTGGCACAGTATTAAGTCTCCCAAGAGAATTGGCCCGTTGAGTTCTCATCCCTACCAAGTCAGGTGAATAGCAAAATTTGGCACTGCAATTTTTTTTTTCTTCTAAAAGGAATAAATTTCTCTAGCTCTTGTTGCTCCAACAAGGTATCTGGCTTCATTCCTGAAAAACAACCAAGGCATAGGGAAGGTAGAGAAATTGAGGCGCCACATCAGAGTATCACGGCACCAGTGTGGGACCACAAAGCCACCTTCCTTTTCAGTTTTTCCACAAACTCTCCCAGGCAGTAATTTCACTGGAGTCATTTACTCATTCACTCAATCATTCTGAAAGCAGCTGCTGGCTTCTGTGGGTTGCTCAGGGTCTGATGGCATCTGTAAGGAAAAAAGTGATTTGGGCTTTCAGGGTCTCGTCAGACCCAGGAAGCTGCAGGGCCTGTGGTTCTGAGGCTGCATGGTGGCTCTTATCTGTGCAGGAGGGCAACTGGAGGGCAAGTGGGCAGATCCAGAGCATGGCCTCCCCTGAGGAATGAAGGGCTTTGCTTCTGAGACCATCTTCTTCTCTCTCTTCCTTTTCTCAACCTTGGCATTTCAGCAAGTGGCCTGTGTGTTCTTAGGCTTGCCTCCTGACAGCGAGGAACTGAGCTTAAAGTATCAGATGTTCTGTTCCCGAAGAACCACCTCACGAGTTCTACACAAGATCTGGTCCTTTCTCTTTCTGCTGCAAATTGTAGCATCTCCCTCCTAGTGTGAGGCTCAGAGTTTGTCAGGGGAGATGCTGATATTTAGCTTCAGACTGCTGTTAAGGCTTCTTTCCCTTCTATTCATGGATGCGTCTTTTATTTTTTTGTTGCAACATATTTATTTTGGATCTTTTATTTATATACCAAGGCTGCTGCTTCCTCAGAAGAGAGCATATTTGCCAAAATGCCAATCTTCCATGAGACAGGAGCCTATAACTGTAGCATAGAATTTAACAGAAAATCTTATTGCATCAAACTTAATTTTCAGTACCAGTTAAGTACCTACCAAAGTACTCTGCCCATGTACATGTTGATGTGGACTAAAGAAAACACAAAATCAAACAAACATAATGGGAAGATGGAATAAGTGGAGTGGGCAATGAGAGTTAAATGAGAAAAAGCAAAGTTAAAGCATATAAAAAGGTTTAATGGAGTATTATGGAATTATCTGCTAAAAGGACAAAGTAGAATAAACTACAAATAAAAAGGAACTTAGATAAGAGGAATGTGGAGGCGAAAAAAGATGGCAAGGTAATTGGAATAATTACATCCATGCAGTGGCTCTTGACCTTGGCCCACGTTGGGGAGTTTAAAGAAGTATGAAGGCCTGGGTGCAACCCCTAGAGGGTCTAATTTAATCAGTGTGGGGTGGGTTCTGGGCACTGAAGTTTTTAAAAGCTCCCTAGATAATTCTTATATTAACCAGGTTTGAAAATCATTGTGTAAAAAAAGAATTTGGTGTAGTATAGGTTTATTCCAGTATTGTCTTCAGGGGACAGGGCAAAGGTGCCACTTTGTGACCACAAGGACTGCTGTAGGATCAGGGGCTCTTGGTTTCTGCTTCTTGTCCCTTTTTTCCATGACAATGTGGACCTTCTATAGTTTTCCTGCTTGGGGACTGCTGGACTCTTACAAACCAGAGGGAATGAAGATCTACTTAGGTCAGCACCAACCTTCTTTCTTACTCCCCTGAGCTCCTACCACAGTGCTGGGCATTTACTGGGTGCTTAGTCAGTACTTCCTGGGTACTATCATTCTGGCCTGCTGCGTCTTTTTGTACTGAATGAATTGGGCCAAGTCTGTGTTTTTAGTTCTTCCTAATCTTGCTCTGATCTTCCTGATCCAAATTATGTCCTCCTCCATTCTGAGAGATAGACTTCATCCAGGGAATCTCACTATCTGTGATTCCTGGCATTGGACAGTACATCACTGGTGTGTGTGTGTGTGTGTGTGTGTGTGTGTGTGTGTGTGAGAGAGAGAGAGAGAGAGAGAGAGAGAGAGAGAGAGAGAGAAAGAGCGTGCTGAAATTCAAACTGCAGCTCACCAGACTGAGTCATGGGCTCTTGCTATATTTCAACTTTGTGTTCTCCCTCCCCCAGCCCTTCCTTCCTTCTATCCAAACTTCCTTTTGTTTTGTAATTCCCAGGTTTACTGGGACTCTGCAGTAATTCAAGGAGATGTATCATGAAGAGTTAAAACGTGTCTAGTTCCCTGAAGAGTCCACTTGCTTTGGGAGGGAGGTGGATTACTTTCTGCTTTCCTGGAATTGCAGACTTCATAGTGAAGATTTTCTGCCATAGAGAGCCGTGTGTGGACTGGAAACTTTGTGCTGTCTCTGGAAGTCCTCGTTGTCTTGACCTGCTTGCCAGAAGCCATGGGGAGCAGAACATGGAGAAGCAGAACAGAGGCTTTGTGCTGCTCATAGATAATGTTATATCTTTGTTGATAAAAGCACATTTATAAAAAATAAAAAACAAAGGCATTTGATTTTTTTCCTTCCTTCCTTCCTTTTATTATTTCTGACAAGCAATATCCAAACAGAGAGGTAAGAAGCAGAAAATCTGGATTGGGAACAGATGGATAGTTGGTTTTAAAGAACTTGAGCAGAATTCCCTCCTACTTTGTAGTATTAGCTATATATAAGGAAAAGCTCTCCCTGTTCTCCTCTGAAACAGAGAAAAGAATTTTGCTCAAGATGATGATGATGAGGCTGAAACATGGGTTAGGGTTAAGGAGAATATAAAAGCTTTTCCCCACATAGAAGTAGAATGTGGATTCTTTGGTGCTTATAGAGGCTGAAATTCCATAGCTCCCAGGGGAAGCAAATGAAGACCTTTTGTCCTTCAATCAAAGAAGGAGGAGAGAGGAATAGGAGCCTCTCTGGGAGGGAGAACCTGTGCTCCCCCTCAGGTGGCTGGGTAGAAGGTGGCCCTCCCTTCTGGTTGAGTCTTTGAGACCAGAGACTGGAGACAGATGGAAAGGAGATGTCTTCTTTTCCTTGGGATGGAGTTTTGGTGGCTCTGGTGCTCTGCCAGTGGTCCCATAGCCACTAACAAACCCCTGCATTGCCCACAGTTCCACAGTGCCTCCAGTTCTTGGGCTCTGAGCTAACACACCTACTATTTTTCACTTGGTTTTTATTACAGATTGGGAGAAAAAGAAATGAGGCTAAAAAGAATGGCAAACTGGAGGAAACAATGAAAGAAAAACATGGAATCCCTGGAGGGTACTTTCAGGAAGGCACATCAGTAGCTAAAAAGAGTGGCCCTGAGGGGAGCTTTGGGGGCTGGAAGAAGAGAGTCCCTAAAGCAATGGAGTGGGAAAGTTAGTATTCAAGTGGAATCTTGGACCTAAAACCCAGTTCCCTTGTCATTTCTCGGAACCTGGCACACTCCACATCTGCTGCTGCCCCCTGGTCACAACCTGTGCACCTCAGATGTTCTGGTCGGTTTTGTGGGATTCATAGTGACTTTTGGTGGTAAGCGGGAATAGGTATAGGGGCAAGGACTGGGGTGCGTGCAGTTTATTTGCAATATGTAACCTGGTTAGAGATGCCAGAGTGGTTGTTTTATAATCACTGTTGTACTGCTGTGTTAAGCCTAGTTTGGAATGTAAGTGCTGTTGTATACATCACGCCTGTGACAACTTAAAGGGCTCTTAACACTGAGCTCGGTAATGAATGCTTAGTATGAGTGAATGAGAAGATTATTGAATGGGAATATGAGCTATCCTTCTGGCAGGGCTTTAATTGCAAGGAGAAAGAGAGGTGGGGCACGTGCACCACTGAGCAGTGGCTGTGGGAACCTAGGAAGTTACCAAAGGAGGGCGAAGAAAATGCTGCAAGGCTGCCCTTGTGTATGGACAGCTCAGCATCCGTCAAACTGAAATAACACGTGTCACGGTACATGACATAGCACATGGCATCAATCTAACCTGACAGCAGTGTGCAGCTGCTGTGGAACTCCAGGGACACAGGGTAACAAAAGATGCACAGGGAATGGTGCTTACCGAGGAGATGGGCTAGCAGAGCCAAGGAGGAGGATTTTTGGAAGACTCAATTGACAATGACCTCTTCTGTGTCAGAATACCTTATTTTCAAAGTGCCAGCTTGAATTCCAGCTCGGTGACCCAGAGGTTGAGTGAGAGTCACAGCTTCCGCCTGTTAGTATAACTGTTGCCTTTATTCACAAATTGGCTGTTCTTGTGTTGACTCGGTGTGGTGGGGGACTCGGCTGAACAGCA